TTTTTTTTTATTTGCTACTCATCTTTATTAAATGATTGTCCTCTGGAAGGCATATTCCTTTTCTGAGCTAATTCTGAGACAAATAGCATCCAGCACATACAGAGTGAATATTTCTGTTATTTTATGAAGAGGGGTTCTATTCCTTGATATCACTTTTTTACAGTGTGAGTTAGAAGATCGAGGACATGCACGGGGAAAAATTAACGAAGCTTAAAAATTCAGGCACATGAGGAGACGTATATGTTGTCTTCACATTTCATTTCATATTAACGTGATTGAGTAGGTATGTCCAGGTACATCTATCTGTGTCAAGCAGGATAATTCCTCGTGGCCACTGACATCTTGGAAAGGTGCATTGTGTTTGGCCTGGGGCCAGAGCCGTTTTGTTGTTTGGTGGTGGGGAGACTGGTTGAAATGTTACTTTGTGGCTTCTGTTTCCTGGAAAACTTGAAGAAACAAAGCATAAACAGGCCTACGAATCTTCTTCTTCTTCTTTTTCTTCTCCTGGTTCTCCTTCTCCTATATCAGCTTCTTCCTCTGCCTCTTCTTCTCCTTCCTCTTCAGCAACTTCTTCCGTCTCTTTAGATGCTGCCTCTCCTTCTTCTTCATTTTTATCCTGGGATTCAGGGAGGTTGTCCCCATCTTCACCCTCCTCCTTTGGAACCTCATTCTCTTCACCCTCTTCAGCCTTCTCTGTTTGCTCTGTGGTGCTCTGTGCCTCTCCAATTACTTCACCATTGGGAAGGGAAGAGGCATCCTCAGGAGATTTTGTCACTCCACAATATTGCTCTTCATTGAAGATCTGTGGTGGCAAGGAATCCCATTTTGAGGTTTTTTTCTCTCCAGGCACATTCTCTCTTATCCACTTCCTATTATTTTCATCTCCAGCAATGTCTAATTCCTTAAAGTCGATTTTATTAGCTTCCAAAAAACCTAACTACTTCTTGTTGTTTCTTCCTAATCGCTATGGACCCAGAAGATGTGGCAACAAAAACTTTGATAACCATTTTGATGGTCAGAAAGAGGACTCCTCCCAACACACCCCTGCTGGGGTCTCTTCGCTAGGCAAATCCTGGTGGTGGCCTGGGCAGTGACAGGTCAGGGCTGGCAGCGGCCCAGCGCCCCGCAGCCTCTTTTTCTTTTCTTGCTGGTCACTTTGGTTCATCTATTTTTTTTGCTCTCTGTGTGAAGATATTCCCTTAGTACTTCTCGACTATTTGGTCTTGTTTTCATGAATTCCTTAAGTTCTACTCTTCTGCAAATGGCCTAATTTCTTCTTCATATTTGATGGAAAATTTTGCTGGGTACAGGATCATCCACTAGCAATTGTTTCCTCTCAGCCTTCTGTATAGGCTGTTCCTTTGTCTTCTTTTTGACATGATTTCTGCTGAGACATCAGAGCTTAATCTAACTGGCTTTTCTTTATAGGTGACTCTGTGTTTTTCATGCTGCTTTTATAGTCTTTCCTTATCTTTGATTTTGAAGAATTTGACTATGTATGCTTTTTTTTTTTTTAATCTAGTCTGCTAGGCAGTCAGTGAGTTTCTTGAATGTGGATTTTATAATTTTTCATTATTCCTGGGATGTTTTCTTCTAGTATCTCTTTCACATTTTTTCAGGGTTTCCCCTCCCTATCTCTTGTTCTGGAAGCTGGATCACATGAATGTTGTTCCATTTTATGTTATCATGCATGATTCTAATGTTTTCACCTTTTCCCTTTGGTTGTCTCTGTTTTTTCTTATAGTTAACTCTCATTTGAGGTTTTATCTTCTCATTCACTATTTATTCCATCTCTTCTATTCTGCTTCTTCCTTTGCAGCATGTTGGCAAATTTTCCAATTTCCGTCTTGATAGTCTAGATTGCATTTTCATGCATTTTTGTTATTACTAGTGAGGCCCTCTATGAGGTGGATTGATTCAGTGACTGGGATAATTGGGATGGGAGTGTCAGAGACAGTGCGATTGGCACAGGACAGAGCGGAGTTTAGGGCTGTTGTACATAGGGTCGCTATGAGTCGCAGGCGACTCGACGGTACATAACAACAACAACAACAACAACTAGTATTGTGTTGATAGTATCTTTGCTGTCTTGTGATTATTTTTTTTAATTCGTGTACCTCTTTATTTATGGTTTCAATTCTTTTTTCAATAAACTGTAACTTTTTAGTAGCAGTTCATACAACTTCATATTGATATATTTCTTCTGCCTTTCTCTCCCTTGGGTATTCAATGGGTCTGTAATCTCGTCTGCTTGTTTAGGAAAAAGCTAGTTTTTTTTTCTTTTTGGTTTGTTTTGTTTTTTTCATGTTTGAAGCTGCTGTTGCTTTCTTAAAATTATGTGAAGTTCTTCTTGATATGTGTAAAGGAATTTCTGTTGTGTTTGCAAAGGTTGTTAACAGTTCCTTATCCTTTTAAAAAATATTTGTATTGGTTTTCATATAATGTCTTTACATTATGTTTCATTCATATACATTGTATTTTATATAATCTTTCATTTACATTGTGTTTCATACAATCATTCATATATATTCTATTCACATTATTTTTTTAAAAGAAAATTTTTATTATATACTGGTTTACTTAAAATCTCACATACATTGTTTCTTACATCAGATCTTTCCCATCTCCTTCACAGCCCCTCCTCCATCTATCAAATTGTGTGACCCTATGATTAACATGTTCCTCCACCCACCCATCCTTACCCTTCTGCTCCCTGCCCGCTTGCCTTGGCTACTCATATTCATTTTACAATAATGGTCTTTTACAATATTTGTCCTTATGAGACTGAGCCAGCTCACCTAGCACAATGCTTTTCAGTCCCTCCCAAGTTAGGTAGTAATTGGTAAAATCATTGTTCCTGCATGCTATGTAGTATTCTAGCAAGTGAATGTACCATAATTTCTAAATCCATCTGGTTGTGGTTGGACATTTGGGTTCACAGGCATAGTAGCCAAAGAGCATGGTACGGGTACAACGACAGACCTATAGATCAATGTAATGGAATTGAAAACCCAGAAATGGACCCCATTTATTTATGATCAACTGATATTCAACAAGGAAACAAAACCTATCAAATGGAGAAATGAAAACCTCTTCAACAAATGGTGCTGGCAAAACTGGACTGATGCCTGCAGAAAGCTGAAACAGGATCCACATCTCACACCATACACAAAAATCAACTCAAGGTGGAACAGAGAATTGGGAGTAAAGGCCCAAACCATCAAGTTCATCAAAGACAAACTAGGATCAAGCTTAGATGGCCTAGTCTATGGTATACAGAGACTGCCAAAAACAGCCAGAAATGCACAATGGAAAGGATAAAATTGATGAACAGGACCTTCTAAAATTCCTTATCTTATGCTGTTGATAAGTTTCAGACATAGAATGTTGCCTCTCATTGAGTTTCTTAGTGACAGTCTTCTCTGCTGGTCATCAATGGGTGCCTCTGTTCTCTGTTTCTTTGGCAAGCTTCTCACCTGGTTGTGCTTTGAGGGACAAAGAGCTGGGGTCTTTCCGTTTGACCAGCTGTAGTGGCCCACTTCTTCTCTGCCCTATCCTGTAGTTTGGGTGTGAGTGGTCTCTCCCAGGGTAGGCAAATCCCAAGAGTGCTATCCAAGATATATTGCTCAGGAAAAAGGCCTAAGAAAGTAACAAGACCCCAACAGTGCAGTCCCCTGGTCTCAGTAGTTGCTAATGGCCTATCTCTGTCACCTGGAGCTACCTGTCCCTTCTCCTGGAGCTGGTCAGAAGGGGAGCTATTCCCACCTGAGCAGACAAAGACCCAAGGAAGAGAGACTTTCCCAGCTGTGCACTTTCCAATTCTGGCTAGTTGCTAATATCCAAACTGCATACCTGTGTCTCCTCTGCTGAAGCGGCTCGTTGGGAGGAGCAGCACAATTATTTTATCATGTTTTCACCAGCATTGGGGAAAAAGATTCTTTAGTAAATTTAATTTATAGACAACTTTATGTGTTTTTGTAATTGTTTAGCCAGAAAAATGTTTTCTTTTTATTCAATAACATGCTTTTTCTTCCCACAGATTTTGAAAGACCACGGACAGGATTTTCTTGTTGGCAATAAATTCAGCTGGGCAGATGTACAACTGATAGAAGCTATTTTAATGATGGAAGAACTCAATGCTTCAATTCTTTCCGACTTCCCTCTGCTAAAGGTAGTGTATTAACATTTGCAAAATTGAACCAAAGCAAACAAAAATAAAGTGAGAGAGGGAGAAAATCCTAACAACCAGAAGAGAGAGAGAAAAAAAAAATTTCTAACAGCAAAACAGAAATAAAGAATGAAATAGAGACTATATTTGCAGATATAAGACCAAATTTAAGACCATTTAAAAATTATTGTTTTATTTATTTTGAGCTTTCCCCTCTTACAATATATGGTTATTAGGCAATAAAACTTGCAAAGGGGTAAAGAACAGATTGTTTTACTTTCTAGCATGAATATTTCGTGTTTTCCTATAATTTGTTGTTTTGAATGTTTTTTTATTTCCTTCTCGTGGCCTACTGGGTAAGAATTTGTGCTGTCAACCCAAAGGCAATAGGTTGGAATCCACCAGTTGCACCATGGTAGAAAGACTTGCTATCTCCCACCTTAACCCACATGATTTATATCCTCTGAAAATCCTGTGGAGGGTCAGCTGTGAGTTGGATCAGACTTGGCAGCACATACCAACAAAACCAAGCAGGACTAAGAAATCTGTCTTTGTTTCCTCCTCCATTCGATACAAGACAGCTTTGCCTTCATTTGTTTTATTGACCATCTCCTCATACCCCAGACCCAAGTGCTCCTATTACTCAGCATTTATGATGGCTGGTACTGCCTGTTTTGTGTTGCATCATTCTGTTTACCAGAGTGGTTAAGCACTGGACTGCTAACCCATGGACTGTTAACCAAAAGTTTGGAATGTCCAGTGCATCATCTGCTTTATAATGTAGCAATCCACTTCAGTAAATATTACTCATTACAGCTAAGTGGATCCCAACTGGTAACAATCCTCTATTAGGTTTCTGTGATATGCTCTTTAGGGAAAGAGGTTGCCTATCTCTCTCCCATAGACCAGCTGGTGGATTTGAACCATTAAACATTTGCTGAACAACACATCTTCTATGACACAGTTCTACTCTGCCTCAGAGTAAATGATGTTGTGCTTCAGTATTGACTCTACAACAATGGATTTTTGTTATCCTTTATTTTGGCCACTGTCAAGGCTTACTTGGGATCTGTTCCAATTCTTTAGAAATGTTTCCTATGATAGGTAAACATAGATTTGTTAGTTTATGAATAGGTTTATTTTTCTTATAAAAGGAATCCAAGTTCATTCTAGGTACATTTTGTCTTTTATATAAAGTAAAAAGAGAAAGAAAAGAAATGATTATATAATCCTACTAAATGAATGTTAAACTATTAGATTTCCTGATCTATTGTTTTGTATTTCACCCTCTCCCAGACAGAATCAGACTAAATAGTGTCATGGCCTGTTTCCTTCTTTTTCACATTCACTTATCATAAGTTGTTGTTGTTGTTATGTGCCGT